CTTCCTCAAATTCTCTCTTCTCACACTGCTTTCCTCTCTCTCTCTTTCCCTTTTCGTTCTAATTGTTTACATGTGTACGTATGTGAGAGCGGGCAGGAGTATATGTGAGTTGGTGTGTGTATGTCTGTCGCGTATGTATGTAAGATTGTGTTGACATCTAGGAAAGTTTGTTGCGCGTTTTTATGCCTCTTTATTGAACACGTCCGCGACACGTTCTCACCATATGTTCTGAGTGGGTCCCTAAACCGGCTGCCGTTCCTTGCAGGCGCGTGTGTCTCTTCCTGTATCATGAGCCTAATTTATTCCTGTACCATAAGGTTGACGATAGCATCCATGCGCCAATGCCCTGGTACCAGCATCCTAGTACCAACGGCTAGGCACATCCGCTCGATACCAGACTGTTACCAGCATCTAGGCACTCTCAGCCATCTACCATCAACCAGACTTATCATTTTCACCCAGACACTATCCTTCTGGCACCATCATCTGGAGGTACCTTTCTGATTTCACAGCACCATCATCTGGAGGTACCTTTCTGATCCAGCACCATCATCTGGAGGTAACCTTTCTGATCCCATGGCATCATCTCTGATACCATTGGCACGCATCATCTGGAGGTACCTTTCTGATACCATAGCACCATCATCTGGAGGTACCTTTCTGATCCCATGGCACCATCATCTGGAGGTACCTTTCTGATCCCATAGCACCATCATCTGGAGGTACCTTTCTGATCCATGGCACCATCATCTGGAGGTACCTTTCTGATCCATAGCACCATCATCTGGAGGTACCTTTCATCCATGGCACCATCATCTGGAGGTACCTTTCTGATCCCATCATCTGGAGGTACATCCATAGCACCATCATCTGGAGGTACTTTCTGATCCCATAGCACATCATCTGGAGGTACCTTTCTGATCCCATTCATCTGAGGTACTTTCTGGCACCATCATCTGGAGGTACCTTTCTGATCCCATGGCACCATCATCTGGAGGTACCTTTCTGATCCCATAGCACCATCATCTGGAGGTACCTTTCTGATCCCATGGCACCATCATCTGGAGGTACCTTTCTGATCCATAGCACCATGCATCTGGAGGTACCTTTCTGATCCATAGCACATCATCTGGAGGTACCTTTCTGATCCCATAGCACCATCATCTGGAGGTACCTTTCTGATCCATGGCACCATCATCTGGAGGTACCTTCTGATCCCATGGCACCATCATCTGGAGGTACCTTTTCTGATCCCATAGCACCATCATCTGGAGGTACCTTTTCTGACCCATAGCACCATCAATCTGGAGGTACTTTCTGATCCCATGGCACCATCATCTGGAGGTACCTTTCTGATCCCATAGCACATCATCTGGAGGTACCTTTCTGATCATAGCACCATCATCTGTACCTTTCTGATCCCATAGCACCATCATCTGGAGGTACCTTTCCTGATCCCATAGCATCATGCTGGAGTACCTTTCTGATCCATACACCATCATCTGGGTAGGATATAGCACCATCATCTGGAGGTACCTTTCTGATCCCACCATACATCTGGAGGTACCTTATCTGATCCCATAGCACCATCATCTGGAGGTACCTTTCTGATCCCATAGCACCATCATCTGGAGGTACTTTCTGACCCATAGCACCATCATCTGGAGGTACCTTTCATAGCAGCCTCATCTTGGAGGTACTTTCTGATGCGCCACCATCATCTGGAGGTACCTTTCTGACCCCATAGCACCATCATCTGGAGGTACCTTTCTGATCCCATAGCACCATCATCTGGAGGTACCTTTCTGATCCCATAGACCACATAAGGTACCTTTTGATCTGGCAATCATCTGGAGGTACTTTCTGATCCATAGCACTCATCTGGAGGTACCTTTTCTGCCCCATAGCACCATCATCTGGAGGTACCTTCCTGATCCATGGCACCATCATCTGGAGGTTACCTTTTCTGATCCCATAGCAATCCTGAGGTACCATCCCATCCATCATCTGGAGGTACCTTTCTGACCCATCCTTTCTGATCCCATAGCACCATCATCTGGAGGTACCTTTCTGATCCCATGGCACCATCATCTGGAGGTACCTTTCTGATCCCATAGCACCATCATCTGGAGGTACCTTTCTGATCCCATGGCACCTCATCTGGAGGTACCTTTCTGATCATAGCACCATCATCTGGAGGTACCTTTCTGATCCCATAGCACCATCATCTGGAGGTACCTTTCTGATCCATAGCACCATCATCTGGAGGTACCTTTCTGATCCATGGACCATCATCTGGGAGGTACCTTTCTGATCCCATAGCACCATCATCTGGAGGTACTTTCTGATCCCATAGCACCATCATCTGGAGGTACCTTTCTGATGCATCCCATCATCCTTTCTGATATGGCACCATCATCTGGAGGTACCTTTCTGATCCCATAGCACCATCATCTGGAGGTACCTTTCTGATCCCATAGCACCATCATCTGGAGGTACCTTTCTGATCCCACAGGCACCATCATCTGGAGGTACCTTTCTGATCCCATGGCACCATCATCTGGAGGTACCTTTCTGATCCCATAGCACCATCATCTGGAGGTACCTTTCTGATCCCATAGCACCATCATCTGGAGGTACCTTTCTGATCCCATAGCACCATCATCTGGAGGTACCTTTCTGATCCATAGCACCATCATCTGGAGGTACTTTTCTGATCCATAGCACCATCATCTGGAGGTACCTTTCTGATCCCATAGCACCATCATCTGGAGGTACCTTTCTGATGCACCATCATCTGGAGTACCTTCTGATCCCATAGCACCATCATCTGGAGGTACCCTTTCTGATCCCATGGCACCATCATCTGGAGGTACCTTTCCTGATCCCATAGCACCATCATCTGGAGGTACCTTTCTGATCCCATAGCAACATCATCTGGAGGTACCTTCTGATCCCATAGCACCATCTCTGGAGGTACCTTTCTGATCCATAGGCACCATCATCTTCTGATCCATAGCACATCATCTGGAGGTACTTTCTGATCCCATAGCACCATCATCTAGAAGGTACCTTTCTGATTCCCATAGCACCATGCATCTGGAGGTACCTTTCTGATCCCATAGCAACCCATCATCTGGAGGTACCTTTCTGATCCCATGCACCATCATCTGAGGTACCTTTCTGATCCCATAGCACCATCATCTGGAGGTACCTTTCTGATCCCAGGCACCATCATCTGGAGGTACCTTTCTGATCCATAGCACCATCATCTGGAAGGTACCTTTCTGATCCCATAGCACCATCATCTGGAGGTACCTTTCTGATCCCATAGCACCATCATCTGGAGGTACCTTTCTGATCCCATGGCACCATCATCTGGAGGTACCTTTCTGATCCCATAGCACCATCATCTGGAGGTACCTTTCTGATTCCACAGCACCATCATCTGGAGGTACCTTTCTGATTCCACAGCACCATCATCTGGAGGTACCTTTCTGATATGCACCATCATCTGAGGTACCTTTCTGATCCATAGCACCATCATCTGGAGGTACCTTTCTGATCCATAGCACCATCATCTGGAGGTACCTTTCTGATCCCATAGCACCATCATCTGGAGGTACCTTTCTGATTTCTGAGGTACCTTTCTGGCACCATCATCTGGAGGTACCTTTCTGATCCCATAGCACCATCATCTGGAGGTACCTTTCTGATCCCATAGCACCATCATCTGGAGGTACCTTTCTGATCCCATAGCACCATCATCTGGAGGTACATCCCATAGCACCATCATCTGGAGTACCTTTCTGATGCACCATCATCTGGAGGTACCTTTCTGATCCATCCATCATAGTACCATCATCTGGAGGTACCTTTCTGATCCATAGCACATCATCTGGAGGTACCTTTCTGATCCCATAGCACCATCATCTGGAGGTACCTTTCTGACCCATTCATCTGGAGGTACCTTTCTGATCCCATGGCACCATCATCTGGAGGTACCTTTCTGACCCATTCATCTGGAGGTACCTTTCTGATCCCATAGCACCATCATCTGGAGGTACTTTCTGATCCATAGCACCATCATCTGAGGTACCTTTCTGATCCCATAGTCATCTGGAGTACCTTTCTGATC